TCTACAGACACCATGTCTTTCCCTTTTGTGCTCAGATAGGCCGGGATCATTGCAATCCACACACTACAGAACACCAGCATGCTGAAGGTGATGTACTTGGCCTCATTAAAACTGTCCGGTAATGTCCTGGCAAAATAAGCAATAATAAAACTAACCGCTGCCAGAACTCCCATATAACCCAGAACAGAGTAGAAGGCAATGATTGAGCCTTTGTTACACTGAATGATGATCCTTCCAGGGTAAGAATGCATGTCCAGTTCATGAAAAGGAGGGGAAATGCACAACCAAAGAACATTAATCAGGATCTGGATAGATGAGCATATCAGAACTATGGTATTAGACAATTTGACCCCAACCCACATTCTCCACGAGCTGCCTGGTTTAGTAGCTTTGAAAGCGATGTAAACCATGATAGTTTTGCCCAGTACAGAAGATACAGCTACTGAGAAGATGATCCCAAAAGAGGTTTGACGCAGCATGCAGGTTATATCCACAGGACGACCGAGGAACAGAAACACACAGAGGAAGCTCAGCATGAGAGAGACCAGGAGGATGAAGCTGAGATTACGGTTATTTGCTCTGACAATGGGAGTCTCCCAGAATATAATAAATGCTCCCAAAATAAATATAGCTATAAGTGAAAATAAAACAGACATGGAAGAAAAAACTGTAGTCATAATATTGTTTTCATATGATAGAAAGTCATAGGTTTTAGGAATGCACTTTGTTTTATTCTCATCCGTCCATTTATTGGCAGGACATTTCTGGCAGTTTTCACTATCTGCAATAGAAAAAAGAAACAAAAATAATAATCTATATTATCAGTGTTTATATAGCACCAAATATCTAGCGACTAAATCAAGTTTATCAAATGTTATCAGGTTACTTGGAATATGTTATAGTCACGTGAAGAAATACATAATTTTGGATGACAATTAAAGGAACTCTCCAAGAAGCAAAAACACTACAATGAGCTAGGAGTGTCACTATGCCATCCCTTGTAAGCAATCAAACCATTTTAAAATGGTTTGACTTTTTATCTGGAGTCTTCCTTGTGTCGCTCCCTACATGCACTATGCAGGGCAAAGTTCACTAGCTAAGAACAATCATTTGATGCTCCCAGCAATGACCTACAAGTCTTAAGTCAGGTAATCTAAACTAAGATCTCGCTGAGGACTGGGGAATCTTCCACTCTTCAGCATTAGTAGCGGAGGCAGAAAGCGGCAACCACAATTTATTTTTTACATTTTCAAGAATATTTTTTTGCACAAATTTATAAACTAGAACAAAACCCCTGCCCCCCTTCTAAAAAAAAATCCCTGCAGCCCCTTCTTAAAAAAAAAAAAAAAAAATGTGCTCCCTTCCTTCACATAAACCCCTGCCCAGCCCCCTTGACAAAAAACTCTGCCCCTAATTCTAGAAAACCCCTGTCCAGTCCCTTTCATAAAAACCCTTGTCCAGTCCCCCTTCACAAAAACCCCTGACTCCCACTTCTACAAAACCAATGTACAGCCCCCTCACAAAAACCACTGTCCCCCACCTCTACAAAACACATGTACCCCCTTCTACAAAACCCCTTACACTTCTACAAAACACCTGTCCAGCTCCCCTTCTACAAAACCCCTGCACCTCCTTCAGAAAAAAACCCTGAGATTGAACAGGGGGTTAATTCTACAATTCTAAATGATTCATCCATAATAAGACATCTTAAATAATTGGAGACCAAAAAAACAGAGAGAAAAATAGGGTAAATAATACACTCTTGGCCTTTCTTTATGTTAGGACATCTAAAGATGTTAGAAGGAAACAGTGTACTGAATACCAGATTGGACACACGCATAGACAGTCTGGGAAATCAAAATGGGAAATACCAAGATTTACTTGCTGAGCATAATACCCGTCATGCTGATCACGAAAAAGAACTGATTGTTATTTCAGATAAATGTGCACAGGAAATAAATCAGCTTAGAAAGCAATTGGAAGAATACGAAAAAGGGAGTAAAAAATCAGAGTGAGGTTAGTAGTCATCACTGTGTACCAAAAAGTTGCATAAAAATACAAGAAAGGACTACCTGTAAATCCCCTCCTTATTATGATTTTACCACACCAGACCAGATTTTCCCAAAACAAAAAGGAAAGGAAAAATATGAGCAAATCTGAGAAAACACCTGTGGAACACATCTTGGGCAGAACAGTTTGAAAAGACTCTCTTGGCCAAGCTTGAGGAAAGGAATCCACTTCAGGATGATAGGAGTGAAAGCAGACATGGACCTGTACACTGTGAGAACTCTGATGCTGATCAGAATTGTGACAGTGAACGAGAAGCTCAGAGTGATTGAAGTGAAAGTGATTGCACTGTCTACTCGGAAGGCCATGTGACTGCTATGCCATCTGCACTGTTATACAGATCTAATACCTATTCAGCAGCTAGATCGCACAGATGTTTACCTAAAAGCAGAGAAACTAGAAACAAGAGCATTAAATCAATTACTTCTGTCTATTAAACTCCTAAAATAATCAGATTCCTTAAAGAGACAGTCCCACAATTTTCTAGAAGTTCAGGAAACATACCTAGAAAATTATGCCATGAATTCATTGGGCATGTATGATGACATCCATAAGAAATGAAACATTACATGGACCTTTGATTCAATGTGCCATATCTATCTGGAGAGTCTTCAAGCTATACAGCTAATGTTCTGGTCAAAGATGAAATCAAAGAGATAATCATGGAGCATAAATCCATTACTTCTGCTAAGAAAGCGATTTATAACTTAAAGTGCGGTACAGATCAAAGCCGCAGATAATTTTTGATAATTCTTAAAAATGCATATTCCGTGGCCCAAAGGAAACCCAGGTATGAAAGCACAGAATTCAAAGATCTGTATTTTTATGCTATGCCGGTAAACATACAAATTTATCTAACAAGAGATTATGATTGTAAGTTCCTGTTAGAATGGCTAGTCAGTAGAGTTGAGCGGACACCTGGATGTTCGGGTCTGGCGGGTTCGGCCGAACTTTGAAAAAAAGTCCGGGTTCGGGCTTGAACTTGACCCCGAACCCAAACCCCATTGAAGTCTCTAAAAAACTCCTGGAAAGGGCTAGAGAGCTGCAAAATGAAGTAAAATGGGGGTAAAAGCAAGACAAGTGCCCTGCAAACAAATGTGGATAGGGAAATCACTTAAAATAAGATAAAAATACAACTGAGCCATAAAATAGCACTAGATGGAATCTTTGATTTTAGCTTTGGAAGAACATAAAGCAAAATCTAAAGCATGGCTGCCAGAATTATCCATTTGAGAGAGGGTTGGAGTGCAGGGTATTCTCTTTCATTGTTCAAACTGAGCTCAGCTCCTGATGCATGGAGAAAAGGCCTTCACAAGCCTCTGCTATTGTGTACATAGTTTATACTAAGTTACCCATAGGTTGAGGAGGCAGTGACCGTGGCGGTGTAGGTGGAAGCGACGGTGGAGGAGAAGGATGAGGTAGCCAACACTTTTTTTATTTGTTTTTTGTTTTTTTATTTTATTTTTAATTTTTTTTTTAATTGGGGTAGCCCCCAAAATATTGGGACATATAAAAAAGAAACATTTGGGGCCTGCAGTGCATTTCTTGCAGTCCTGATGCATGGAGAAATGCTCAACTCCTGATGCATGGAGAAAAGGCCTTCACAAGCCTCTGCTAATGTGTACCTAGTTTATACTAAGTGACCCATAGGTTGAGGAGGCGGTGACCGTGGCGATGGAGGAGGAGGATGAGGTAGCCAACACTGTTTATATATATCTATTTTTTATTTTAATTGGGGTAGTTCTCAAAATATTGGGACATAAAAGAAAAAGAAACATTTTTGGCCTGTGGTGCATTTCTGCAGTCCTGATGCATGGATAAATGCTCAACTCCTGATGCATGGAGAAAAGGCCTTCACAAGCCTCTGCTATTGTGTACATAGTTTATACTAAGTGACCCATAGGTTGAGGAGGTGGTGACCATGGCAGTGTAGGTGGAAGCGGCGGTGGAGGAGGAGGAGGTAGCCAACACTGTTTTTTATTTTTTATTTTTTTAAATTGGGGTAGCCCCCAAATATTGGGATTTGGGACATATAAAAAAAAGAAACATTTGCGGCTTGCGGTGCATTTCTTGCAGTCCTGATGCATGGATAAATGCTCAACTCCTGATGCATGGAGAAAAGGCCCTCACAAGCCTCTGCTATTGTGTACATAGTTTATACTAAGTGACCCATAGGTTAAGGAGGCGGTGACCGTGGCGGTGGAGGAGGAGGATGAGGTAGCCAACACTGTTTATATATATCTATTTTTTATTTTAATTGGGGTAGTTCTCAAAATATTGGGACATAAAAGAAAAAGAAACATTTGCGGCCTGCAGTGCATTTCTGCAGTCCTGATGCATGGATAAATGCTCAACTCCTGATGCATGGAGAAAAGGCCTTCACAAGCCTCTGCTATTGTGTCCATAGTTTACACTAAGTGACCCATAAGTTGAGGAGGCGGTGACCGTGGCGGTGTAGGTGGAAGCAGCAGTGGAGGAGGAGGTAGCCAACACTGTTTTTTTTATATATATATATATATATATATATATATATATATATGTGTTTTTTTTTTAAATTGGTAGCCCCCAAAATATTGGGACATATAAAAATAGACAACTTGGTTCTGCTGAGTAGCTCTTAACATTATAGTTGCGCAGGCACTTTGTTAATTTTAGAGAACCTCGGGCCAATCGCACATCCCTGTGACGGCGAATTTGCATTCGGATGTCATCCATATCAACTTTTGATGCCAGTTTCTGCACCTACCATGGTGACCACGGGTAATGGGGAATCAGGGTTCCATTCCGTACAAGGACCTTGAGAAATGGCTACCACATGCAAGGAAGGCAGCAGGCGCGCAAATGACCCACTCCTGATGCAGGAAGGTAGTGACGACAAATAACATACAGGACTCTTTAGAGTCCCTATAATTACAATAAGTCCACTTGAAATCCTTTAACTCTGATCAATTAGAGGGAAGTCTGGTGCAGAGCCATTGACCCATGCATGCTGCAGCTGAAACTCCACTATCGCCTGCTGCTGCTCGCACAGTCTCATGAGGCGGTGAGCGGGAAGGCCGAAGTTACGCAGCGAGACGAGCAGCAGCAGGGTGAGAATGCCAAAAGTGTGCACAGCCGCTACAGTGAATGTCACATCCTGTTCCAAGTTGCGGATCTGTCTGGTGATGGCTTCTGGTATCCAGTACTCTTTACTGAAGCTGCATCAGGGTCCTGGTATGTGGCAGCACAAACGCTTGTGCTCAACAACACCAGACCCTGCTAATCCATTCCACACTGTGACTCCTAACTTCAAGATCAGGCATACTGGATCCCGGTCATCCGACATCCGCCCAGACAGTGTCTGGTCCTGGTCACCGGACTGCCCTCCTGACTGTAAAACTGCGAATGGCTTGTTAATTCTTTTATGGTTCCTTTTATCACTCCATCTGTAACTTGGATAACTGTGGGAATTCTAAAGATAATACATGCCAACGGGCGCTAGGGGACAGTAAGAACAATCAGGATGTGGAATTCTCTGCCTGAGGAAGTGGTTTTATCAGAGTCCATACAGATGTTCAAACGGCTACTAGATGCATACTTGCAAGAACAGAATATTCAAGGATATAATCTTTCAATGTAGGGTAATAACCGCTTGATCCAAGGATAAATCTGACTGCCATTTTGGGGTCAAGAAGGAATTTTTTTCCTAGCTTGTTGCAAAATTGTGCTTCAAACTGGGTTTTTTTGCCTTCTTTTGGATCAACAGCAAATAACAAATGTGAGGTAGGCTGAACTTGATGGACGCAAGTCTCTTTTCAGCTATGTAACAATGTAACTATGTAACTATGTAACAGCCGCTCCGCTTTTGCACCCTGCTCCTTCTTATGCTGTGCTGGTGCCTCTGTGCTACCAGCGCCTCTTCCTCCAAACTGCACACGTCACTCACATGACCTTGATTCCATGTGGGGTCTAGGACCTCATCATCCTCCACATCATTTTCCACCCACTCCTCAACCCTGCCCTCCTTGCCGGTATGCACACTGCAGAAAACCACAGCAGTTGGCTCCCTGGGTTTTTCCAGCATTTAAAGTCTGCAAAGGACATATGGAAATTGTTTTAGAATTGTATCCAGGCAACAGTTTTCCCTATAAACTGACCTCTCAGTTTGACATGTGAGGGTATTGCCCCAGAATTACAATATTGTTTAAGTACCTCTTAGCTATTGATCACTGGTTTAAATATAGCAGCTTGTTATCTGGTAGTTTCTAGTGTAGAAAATATCAATCTGTTTTCTATCACTTAGATCTGTGTAACAAGTGTTGTAGGTGTGGAACAATATTACAAGTGACCGATGTAGTAAATTCGAATCAAAGTTACGCTTCGATTTGACTCTCAGATATGAAGAGCAGGCCCCAAAATGTGCTATTTAGCAGATTAGCAGCAAAACAATTAGAATGTTTACCACTGCGCTGTAAGCACACTATTAGATGCTTCTATTTTACGCTCAGGTATGAAGTGCACGCCCCAAAATGTACTATTTAGCAGATTAGCAGCAAAACAATTAGAATGTTTACCACTGCGCAGTAAGCGCACTATTTGATGCTTCTATTTGACTCTCAGATATGAAGTGCACAGCAGGCCGCAAATGTACTATTTAGCAGATTAGCAGCAGTGAGGTTGTTATCGAATCGGTAAGGCCAACACCAATTCTTAATTACTCAGCCTTGTGGGGAAAACTTAATGCCCCCATTCAGAGCCCAAAAAAATAAATAAATGAATAAATAAATAAAATAAATTTTCTCAAGCCGAAAATTACCAACATTAGAATGGTTCATATAGCCTAAACCAGTTAGAGTTATTGTGAAATCAAAAATCTGTAATAGGATGAATTATTTATCCTTCTATTTAACCTTTTTTTCTCTCTTATTTTCATAATGCATTCAACCTTTAACCGCTTAAGGACACAGCTTCAGAAGCTTGACTTACGCTTAATGACACAAGCAATTTTTGCATTTTCTTGCTGTTTGCGTTCAACTGCAATTTGCATCTCTCTCATTTATTGCACCGACACATATTATATACTGTTTTTTAAAGGACAGAAAGGGCTTTAATTTGATATAACATATATATATATAAATGCTTACTTATTATAAAAAAAATACAGAAAAATGCAAAAAAAATGAAAAATATTGTTTTTTTTTACAGTTTTTGCAATAATAATGTGTGCATAATTAGTGCAGGTTAAGGAAAGTAATTAAAAATACATTTATTTATTTGTTCTGATTTACAGAATATATAATGTGTCTGGGATTTTAAGTTTTTTTTGGTAGTTACAGGTCACAAAGCACAAGGAGTAAAATAAACTTTTAATGTGGAGCGATTTTAGAATTTGGTATGTTTGTCTTGTAAGCTTAATAGCCATAAAAGAAAACAAAATTGCCACACAAAAGTATATATTTATATAAAGTAGACATCACGGGCTATTTACCTAAGGTTGTTTTGACACTTTCTACGTAGCCATTTCACCGCCAACCTCTGCTAAATATTGGAGTAAAATTGTGTTCTTTTTGGTTTTTGGCACACAAACTTATAACAGAGAAATTCTCGTGTATATTTTGTAAAGTTGGTGTGTGCTGTTCCTGTACAAAGTTTTATTTTGTGTTCAGTTACATCTGCTGAGTAAAATGACACCCCCATTGTATGTCTTTTGCACTATTTCGTGAAGTTACAGTGCCATACAGGATACCTGTCCTTTTCAGTATTCACAGTAGAATTTTGAGAGATGGATTTAATGAGCCTTAGCTTCCATTTGGGGTATTATAACAGTTTGACTGTTCAAAAAACCCCCACAAAGGCCTACCATTTGTAAAAGTAGACACTCCAGGGTATCTTATAAGGTGCATATTGTGCCTTAACATGCCCCCATTTTTTCACCAATATATGCCAAAGTATGTGGTAAAAAATAATTTTGTGCATTTTTTACATACGGATTGCATTTTTGCTGGGCGTTTTGTATATTTCATATGTGCCACTAAGTTCAAACCCCCCAAATTATGCTCAGCTAAGTCTTCTGAGTAAAATGACACCTCATATGAATGTCTTTGGCACTATTTCGTGAAGCTACAGTGCCATATAGGAGACCTGTCCTTTACAGTATTCACAGTAGAATTTTGAGAGATGGATTTAATGAGCCTTAGCTTCCATTTGGGGTATTATAACAGTTTGACTGTTCAAAAAACCCCCACAAAGGCCTACCATTTGTAAAAGTAGACACTCCAGGGTATCTCATAAGGTGCATATTGTGCCTTAACATACCCCCATTTTTTCACCAATATATGCCAAAGTATGTGGTAAAAAAATTATTTTGTGCATTTTTTACATACGGATTGCATTTTTGCTGGGCGTTTTGTATATTTCATATGTGCCACTAAGTTCAAACCTCCCAAATTATGCTCAGCTAAGTCTTTTGAGTAAAAATACACCCCCAATGAATGTCTTTGGCACTATTTTGTGAAGCTACAGTGCCATATAGGAGACCAAGCCATATCCGTTTTTACCAAACTTTGAATTTTGACGCTGGGCCTATGTGCAATTTCCAAGCATCTTCGCAGGTTTTAAATTCAAACTACCCCACAAAGGGCTACCATTTCTTAAAGTAGACACCCCAGGGTGTTTCAAAAGGTATAGTTTGAACCTTAGCGTGGGATCATTTTTCCGCTAGCTTGTACCAGATGTAGTGGTAATAAGCGTTTTTTCTGCCTTTTTGACATACAAAGTGAGTTTGCACAGTATATTTTGCAAACCTTATGTGTGCTACGACTGTATAATACTTCATATGTTGCTCAGCTATGTCGGCTGAGTACAGCAATACCCCCGTATGTACCTTTGCCAGGTATGTGTGGACATCGGAGGGGCACATTTGGGACACAGCCATTCCAGTTTTTTTCAAACTTTGAATTTTTATGCTGTGCCTATGTCCCATTTTAGAGTATTTTACCAGGCTATATAATCCAAATTCCCCATAAAGCCATACCATTTCTTAAAGAAGACATCCCAGGGTATTTCAAAAGGCATATTTTGAACCTTAGCGTGGGATCATTTTTCCGCTAGCTTGTACCAAGTGTAGTGGTAATAAGCATTTTTTCTGCCTTTTTGACATACAAAGTGAGTTTGCGCAGCATATTTTGCAAACCTTATGTGTGCTATGACTGTATAATACTTCATATGTTGCTCAGCTATGTCGGCTGAGTACAGCAATACCCCCGTATGTACCTTTGCCAGGTATGTGTGGACATCGGAGGGGCACATTTGGGACACAGCCATTCCAGTTTTTTTCAAACTTTGAATTTTTATGCTGTGCCTATGTCCCATTTTAGAGTATTTTACCAGGCTATATAATCCAAGTTCCCCATAAAGCCATACCATTTCTTAAAGAAGACATCCCAGGGTATTTCAAAAGGCATATTTTGAACCTTAGCGTGGGATCATTTTTCCGCTAGCTTGTACCAAGTGTAGTGGTAATAAGCATTTTTATACAAAGTGAGTTTGCGCAGCATATTTTGCAAACCTTATGTGTACTATGACTGTATAATACTTCATATGTTGCTCAGCTATGTCGGCTGAGTACAGCAATACCCCCGTATGTACCTTTGCCAGGTATATGTGGATGTTGAAGGGGCGCATTTGAGACGCAGCCATTCA